GATTAATGATTTCACGTGACTTGTCAGAAAGGGACTTTTCAATGCAAAATATTTACAAAAAAGACATCGTAGCTCTTTTGAATGTTTTTGCACACTTTTTTGTAATGTTGAAAAAAATAAGTTCATGTGAACTTTTGTATTCGCATAAAAAAAAGCCGAAACTGAAAATTGTCTTAGGTATAAATATATGCATGTATCAACAAAAATTAAATTAAGATAGCGTCCTTATTAAGAACAATAATGCACGAACAATGTCGTATGCAATTTTTTGGGACGTAGCAACGGGGGGGGGGCCCCCCCCCCTTCTCCCCAGCATTACCTTTACTATAGTAATTGTGCATTGAAAGGATGGGGCAAAAAGATGGCCCTCCCCCCCCCCCCCCCCCACGAAATAGGATTTTCGAGTTTGGGCAACTTTCAATTTTCCGTTTTGTTTTTTTTTGTTTGTTTGTTTGTTTTTTTTTTGCTTGTCAACTTTTTCTGGTAAGTAAACAAAATTCTCTGGTTACCCCCCTCCCCCACACTTTCAAAAACGATGCTACGTGCCCAGGCGCGGATACAGCAATTCAAGTTAGAGGGGGTGCCAAATGTAGGCAAGGGGTCTGGAATCTCATGGATTCTAGAGATTTTGTGGGGTAAAAATGAGGCGTACCAAGTATACATATTTACATTTTCTAGACGAAACTGTGATTTACGTTAAGTTTGACAATTTTAGGGGGGGCGCGCCAGGTGCCCCCCCCCTTAAATGCGCCACTGGGGCCTGTATTTCATTTATGTCCTCGTGTTTGTTTTCTATTTACAAACTTAAACTGTATACACACACACCCTCACACACACAAAACAACGTGAATAAAAGAAAGATATATCATTCATTCAGAAGTTTAAGGACATTGGTAACGTTTCTGGTTTTCGTATAGAATTTTTCAAGATTTTTTGAACAGGTTTAATGGTACCAAACATGTTCAATTCAGGTCCTTTTTACCCATCAAGCCAGCCTTCCTTTAACGATTTTGTCAAATCAATGTTTTTACAATTTTCAATGCATTTCCTATGTAAAATGTTGATAAAATGGGCCTATATTATTTTTAACCATACGTTTTCTCTAAAACCCATTTATTTCATAAGGTTTATACATAAAACACATTGTTGAAACCTTATTTCCGATGACATGCATATAATTTGACTGAAAATGCGAATATTGAAACAAAACACAGAAATACCAGCACTGTTCTTTAATTTTGAGTTACTTCCCTTTACTGTAATAACATCTAATCAATATTCATAATGATCAAGAGAGTGGTTGTTTGTTTCTATTCTATAATTCACTTAATTGGAAACAAATTGTCAAAAAACATTTTTGCAAGGATTCATAGTAACTTTTTAATGGTGCATCATTCACATAACTTATGGAATCGTTCTCATTCGGTCTACCTAGCTATCAACACTTTCAGCATAATTATTTCACACCTTTGCACTTCCCAGCAATCATTTACCTATTCTAAATGACGACCTGTTAACTGTCTGCCCCCTCAACACAATGTAAACAAACCCATCGCTGCTTTTCTTTTATTACTGTAGAGTTGAATATATCCGATAAAAAAACACACGTGCTTTTGTTTACCTCTCAGTCTGTAACATATGCTTTTTTTGTTTTCAGCGCCTAGAGAATTCCATACGGGAGATCACTCCCAATTACTTTTTTTCATAAGTAAAGAAACCTGGGTATAAACCTTTTTTCTCCGGAAACCCTTCGTTGCCAATGACCTTAAGATTTATTCGTGATCATAAAATTCTTCAAGCTATAAATCATGTTCCATCGCCTTTCTTGATGAATCGTTTTCTCGGAAAAAGTAGCAAAATCAATGACCAACAATAGCGGTATTTCAAGTAAAGAAAATTAATTTTTGAATTCAGCAAATATTAAACGCGGTTTACATTTTAAGAATAGCTCACAAAGGAAACAGAAGAGTAACTTGTAGCTTGTTTTTTGAGTTCATTTTTTTTGCGCTGCATCGGGATTAAAACATTGAAATCCGATAACGTCAAGTTGACGTCATCACGTCATAGCGTTATTTTCTTACGAAAACATCCTATATTTAAAGAGCTCTCTAGGAGAAATGGTTTGAGATAATAACAAAAATTAAAATGATTTAGGAAGTGGTCACTCTAAACATCTTTCAAGAACAATTTAATTAGAATTTGGGACAGGGCGGATTTTTGCGCATACCGTACTTTCTTCTTTGTTCCCAAGTTTTACATAGGAATGCATAGGAAAAACCTTTTTAAAATCTTCTCTGAACTTATGTGGAATCATCCTCAGGTAGTGTAGATTCAAGTTTGATCAAATCATGACCCCCGGGGGTAGGATGGGGCCACAATGGCCAACCAAAATTTTACATAGGAATGCATAGGAAAAATCTTTTTAAAATCTTCTTCAGAACCATTAGGACAGGAATGATTAATCTCATGATGTGATGTGGAAGCATCCATAGGTACTAAATGTAGATTCAATTTGTTCAAATCATGACCCCCGGGGTTAAGGTGTGGGCACAATGAGGGATCACAGACCTGCATAAGAATACATAGGAAAAAGAATCTTCTCCAGAACAGAAAAAAATTGTTTTGTCAAATTGACATGATCTGCAAGTAGTAAAAATTTAAATTTATTCAAATAATGCCCAGGGGATTGGGGGTTAGCGAGGGGTCACTATGGGAGATCAGGTAATGTGTTGGAAAAATCTTTAAAAATCTTCTTTTCAAGTATGGCAAAATAATATATGTATGCTGTATTGTAATAGTGACATTTTCAAGTAATAGAAAATTCAAATCCCCCTCCCTTAATAAGTATAAAGTAAGCTTCTCAATACTTAACTGATCTGTGTTTTTAGCTGGCCCATGTGCTCAGGTGAGGGATGTGGCCAATGGGCCTCTTGTTTCATTCATAATATTTTAGACAAATTTGAGTTGTTAATGTATTGCTGAAGTATTTTATTTTCATATAATTATTATAATATATGTGTTTGCCTCTCTTCTTTTTCAGATTGGAAAAAGAAAGAAGATTTGTAGCATTGTATTGAACATGCCTGATTAAAAGTATTAATGGATGAATTGGTGTTTTTCTTTTTTCTTCAGAAAATTTGAAATCGGAGGCAATGCTCAGAATTTTTATGAGATTTTGTTGAAAGAGCTGATGGGTCCCTTTATCCTTTTGGATATATTCAAATTGAAAAGAAAGTGACACCAGGGATGAAGTCAACATGCAAGCCTAGCTTTCTGCAGTGCTACAAGGAAAAGTGCAAAATTGATGAGCTTCTGGTGTACCTTTAGAGAAATAATTATGATTACATGTAGTATCAATTAAGCTTCTGCTATGATGCAAGAACATGTATTTTTATGGAAGAATAGGAAGGAAAATTCCAAAAATATGCACACAATTTTTATGCATTTTAACGTTAAATTAGTGTGAACTAGTTAACGTTAATTTAACGCTTAACGTTAATTTAACATGAAAATAAGGTTAATTTAACGTTAATTTTTTAACGTTATATTCATGTATAAGCTCGATTGACGTTAATTTAACGTTAAATATTCAACGTTAAATTAACGTTATTTTCATGTTAATTTAATGTTAGGCACAATTGGCTGTGTACCACAAAAAAGGAAGGCACTTTTATGGGGTTGAGGTATCAACAAATCAAAAAACTCTCACAATGGGTTTAAGAGAAGTAGCCGATTCCAAAAGCTCCACATATGTCGACTGCACCAACGAAATTTTGGATGATACGGTCAGTTCAGATCAAGGTCAAATTTTAGAAAAAAATTCAAATTTCATGACGGATAGGAGTGCAACCGAAGAAAAAGTTAACAAAATTCTTGGATCCAGTGTAAATAACGACAAATACCATTCTTTTAAATGTGCAGTTCACCCCCTTCTCCAATTCTCAGATGTCTGTCTTAAGGAAATAAGTAACCTTGAAAAAGAACACAAATTAAATATAAATTCCTCTTCCTGGTCTGAATCAAACACGTCTTATCTTCTGCGTTCCGTGTCTAAACTTTTCCATGGCCCTGGAGATCCTCTGTTTACGTCCACCTACATTAAAGATACTCTCAACATTTCAAAAATTCCTATCATGAATCACAGAGGCACTAGATTCAATACTGTTTTCTTCAATTCTGCAAGAACATTCTATCTCAAAAAACACATTTTGCAATATCTTTCTTCTACAAAACCGTCTTTAAATCAGGTGCAGAAATTCATTCTTTGTGCTTTACAAAATAAATTCATTCTGGCAATAGTGAGATGTCTTGGTATACTCTCCATCAAAATTACAGAACCTTACATGAGTATTGCAGAAGACAATAACATGTGTGCAAGCGACATGGGCACCATCTACAGAAGACTCGTTGAACTCCTCCAATGCTGTTCTGACAACCCACATCTCCTCCTTCACAATTCAGTGTCTCTACTGGAAGGACCATCTAATCTTCTAAGTGACATTGAGCTGGAACTCTTCCAAGAATCTGATCTTGATTCACTTACATTAGATTTCATTTCCATATTCTGTAAGGCTCTCCGTGTCAAATGTGTCAAACTCTTTAGTGACTTTTTGGAAAATGGAAAGTTTTTCTCATCATCTTCAAATTCACTTCCAGAAACTGCTTCCTGCCCTGCAAGTAATATAACTGTTGAACGACTTATGGCAAAATTAGATAACTGTGTTAAACAAGCACCAATTGTATCTACAAATAACATTGAAAGTATCGTCATGTACAAAAACAACAAAACTCATGAGTGGCTAAATTCCAAAAAATCAACTTCAGAAATTATCACAAAAGCTAGAAAATTAAATAAATCGTACCTCCAGACAGCAAAACAGAGACAAAAATCATTACACCAAAAGCATATCAACATAATCAGAGAAAAACAAAAAGAAATCGCCAAGAAAAGAGAAAAACAGCAGGAAAAAGAAATAATTTCAAAACAACATTTACAAAATTTATGGAAATCAGAGGATGAAACTTGGCGTGCTTTAAGATGCTTTTCTACCAAAAAGGAAAAAATTGCCGCTGTGAAAGAAAAAATAAATGCTATAAAAACTGTATATATGAAAGAAATACCTACAGACAAAAAACATCTTACTCTCTTCAGTTCCAAAGGAAAACTTCATTCAATTTAAACTCTAGTCTCTAATTACCTCCTCCTTATTGGCATTATTCCGGCTCCCACATCTCATCAGAGTACTGGTCTTTGTGACAAGGCGTCATAGACATCATAAGAAACAACCTGTGATAAAGTGTTTTTATGGTAAAAAAATGACAGTTCAGAAAAAAATTCAATTCTCACAAAAAAATCTCACATTTGGGTATCATGGTAACTGTGCAGACCATACAAAAAAAACCATTAGAAATATCATCAGATTCAAGCTATTCATTTTAAGAATGGTTTGATTAAAGCTGACATGAACTCTTAAAAAGGCATCAGTTTTCATCTTTGTACGACTTACTACATTCCTGTACGCCCTTGTCCGACATATTTGTTCGATTCCGCCATATTTAATCGAAGATTTTTGGCCACCTGTACCTGCTATATATAGCGCTGTAGAACTGTTTCACTTGAGTGATTTTCTAGCCTGGCTGTCGACATGTACACATCTCCGATAGCATAGTTTTTAGAAGCCCATAAACTGACCAAATACATGTTTGAAAAGAAAGAATTCAACAAAAAATAGAACTATACCGAGAATTAAATTATTTTTGATAGAAAATACACTTACACGGAATACATTCATGTACAGGAAAAACCCATGCAGGTCGAGAAAACGCGTCAAACACAGTGATAAAACATTTACCTGAAAATACTGCTATCGTTACAGGGATGTGCACATGTCGAAAGAATTATCCCATTTTACTTTTATTCAAAAATGCATCTCAGAAGTCATGTAATCCATTGCTAACTCAACAGTAAAAGATGCTTGGACACACGTGGTCCATGCTGATCATTTTATTTGGTCAGGGAAAATATCAAAGGTTGAAAGCTCAGTGGGGTTGATTGAAAAAAAAATGCAAGTAATTTTTTCAAAAATAAACATTACTCTTGTCTGTAAATGTTGTAAATAAAATTTATGATTACATGGTTTAACTTCATTAAATCTATAATAAAGCATGCGTTATTACGAATCATTCACCATTTGAAGATATTTTCCTGTGATAGGAGGGGGGGGGGGTAAAACATGCATATTAACATTCTCATAAAAATAATTTAATAAAAACGTCTGAAAAAGATTGGATTTTTTTATGATCAATTATTATCAAATAAATACTGTGTATTGGCATTATTAGACCTAATATAATTTTATTCAAAGTGATTTATAATTTTATGCACAATGGAAGAAAAAGTGAGCAAGTTCACATACCTCACGCTCCCCCAAAAGTCGAAGTGCTGTTTCATTGTGCTATGTACATCTATACACATTGTGTCCTATATATCTGCAAAGTTTGACGAAATTGTTTGCAGTGGTTTATGAGGAATTGCGCTGAAAAACTGCTCATCTCTATATTCAAGATCTGGCCAAAATCTAAATGTAACAGTGCGGAAATATTCCCGAAATAATAAAGAATTCGGAATTTCCTGGTGATGTGCAAATACCGGTACACATATTGTCTCCTATAATTATCTGCAAAGTTTGACAAAACTCTGTGCAGTGGTTTATGAGAAGTTGTGCTGACCAAAAAAAAAAAAAATTGACTGAGGGGTCAAAACCATTATACCTCACGCAACTTGTTGCGAGGGGTATAATAAACGAGTTTGATTCTGTGGTACAATGATAATGAAAATATGATATAATTTCATGTGAATTAAATTTCTAGACATAGATGATTAATGATTATTAGGAAAAGCATATAAATATATATATATATAGAGAGAAAACACCCCGTAAGAATTGCACATCCTACCTACAATTAGCTTTTTAAAAATTCACTTGTCTGTTGTCCAGGTCTAGGTTCGACACGTACGTTTGAGCATAGGCGTCGGAACCGGGGGGGGGGGGGGGGGGGGGCTTTTTTACAAATATATACTTACATGTAGTATAGACATTGAACATTGCTGCGTAGGTTTAGCCCCCCCCCCCCTCTCCAAAGACAAGTCGCAGCATAGGTTTAAAAGAAAAAAAGGAAAGTGTTGGTGTTTGGAGAACAATTTTAAGTTCGAACCTAACCCCCCCCCCCCCCCCGGAATAGAATTTTCGCGTTTTGGAAAAGGGCATTAATATTCATTTTTATTAAGCTTGTCAGATTTTCTTGAATGTATGAAAAAAAATTCTTTGCACTTACATATTGTAGCCCCTACACTTTCAATTTGCTTCCGACGCCGATGCATTTGAGAAGGTATTTGAGAAAGTGCCCAATGTACCCATTCAAGTGATGTATATTTCACGTTTATTATATCCCCTGCTTGAAAAGTTGGAGGGTATATAGTAATCGTTATGTCCGTCCGTCTGCCTGTTACGCTTTGGGGTACCCATCTCTTATCCGCAAATCTTCTTATAACACTTAGTGAAATTTAATGAAATTTCCACAGAATCTTAGGTTTATTACATATTACCATTGGGCACCTCCTATTTTACTTTTTGACCCGACAGTATTTTGGGTTTAGCGACAACAGCAAAATATGGACTTTGCCATTATAACCATATGGAAAGGCGGGGGTATCATTTAGTGAGCTCATTGCTCACAATATCTCTAGTTTCTCTTTCATATTGGGCGTTTGGATTAATTTCTTGTCCAAATTAAAATTATTATTGAATTTATGAAGTTTCGACATCCCGCCTGAAAAAATCCTTGATCTGTCCTAAGGCTAAATAAATGGTACAGCACAAAATGCGTAGGATCTTAGGATCTTATACCTATTATTGCCCTAACGGATGGTTACAGAGAGAGAGAGAGAGAGAGAGAGAGAGAGAGAGAGAGAGAGAGAGAGAGAGTTCAATATACAAAATAGTAAATAAAAATTATCCGTATTCAACCAGTGTCAAATATCCATACCCTAGCTTATCTCCCAAATACTCCTAGAGAAATTATTTTTATATTAAACAAGAGGCCCACGGGCCTTATAGGTCACCTGAGCATTCTGCAACAACTTTCCAGTTATGATTCATGTTTTAAGCCAGATGCTATATGGCATTCACAATTTTGAAAGAGGCACCATTGATCATCATAACAATACACTTAGCAGTTGCTTAGCTTGGTTTATTGATTTAAATATGCCCAATAATAAGTTCATAGGATCTTCATGAACGTTTCATGAACATTTCATGAATAAAATTCATGAAAAATTCAAGGTAATTCATGAATTATTCATGATCACCTCGCAGGGGTACTGAATACCCATACGCAAGGTAGGGGGAAAAAAATGCATTCCAACTAATCAGTAATATTCAGCAATAATCAGTAATGCCCCTAACACTGTGAAATAAACCCCTGACCCTAGGTCCACACACTGCACAAATTTTAAAAAGGCACCGTTAAAATTGCCTATCAAAAAATAAATAAATGTTTTATAAATACAAAGGAGCAGATTTCAAACAATTAATTCATTTTCAGTATATAAGTAGAGCCCCACATCCACCCCTGACCCTGGGGCCTTGAAATTCAAAATTTTGCAAGATTAGGGCCCTTGCTCATCATAACTATTTAGGTAGTTCATCTGCTTCATACCCAGAGACAGAGAAGAAAATTTTCAAAGATTTAATGTATATTCACTATATAATCAATAGAGCCCCCCCACCCCCACACACCATAACCCCTGACCCTGGGACCATAAAATTCACATTTTGGTAGAGGCACTCTTGCTCATCATAACTATGTACTTAATTAGTTTATTTAATACCTAGGAGCAGAGAAGAAGATTTTCAAAGAATTCATGTATTTTTACTATATAATCAACAGAGCCCCACCCTAACACCAGAACCCCTGACCCTGGGACCATAAAATTCATAATTTTGGTAAAAGCACTCTTGCTCATCTTAACTATGCACTTCGTTAGTTTATTTAATACCTAGGAGCAGAGAAGAATATTTTCAAATAATTCATGTATTTTTACAATATAATCTATAGAGCCCCCCCCCCCCCCAACACCAGAAGCCTTGACCCAGGGACCATAAAATTATTCACAATTTTGGTAGAGGCACTCTTGCTCATCATAACTATGCACTTAGTTAGTTTATTTAATACCTAGGAGCATAGAAGGAGATTTTCAAAGAATTTGTGTATTTTCACTATATAATCAATAGAGCCCCCCCCCCCCTAACACCAGAACTCTTGGCCCTGGGGCCATAAAATTCACAATTTTGGTAGAGGCACTCATGCTCATCATAACTATGCACTTAGTTAGTTTATTTAATACCTAGGAGCATAGAAGGAGATTTTCAAAGAATTTGTGTATTTTCACTATATAATCAATAGAGCCCCCCCTAACACCCGAGCTCTTGGCCCTGGGGCCATAAAATTCACAATTTTGGTAGAGGCACTCATGCTCATCATAACTATGCACTTAGTTAATTTATTTATATCTAGGAGCAGAGAAGAAGATTTTCAAAGAATTCATGTATTTTTACTATATAATCTATAGAGCCCCCCCCCCCCCCCTACCAGAACCCTTGACCCTGGGGCCATAAAATTCACAATTTTGATAGAGGCACTCATGCTCATCATAACTATGCACTTAGTTAATTTATTTAATATCTAGGAGCAGAGAAGAAGATTTTCAAAGAATTCATGTATTTTTACTATATAATCTATAAAGCCCCCCCTACCAAAACCCCTGACCCTGGGGCCATAAAATTCACAATTTTGATAAAGGCACTCTTGCTCATCATAACTATGCACTTAGTTAGTTTATTTAATACCCAGGGGCAGAGAAGAAGATTTTCAAAGAAATCATGTATTTTCAATGTATATAATCAAGAGAGCCCCACCCTAACACCAGAACCCCTGACCCTGGGACCATAAAATTCACAATTTTGGTAGAAGCACTCTTGCTCATCATAACTAACTACTTAGTTGGTTTATTTAATACCCTGGAGCAGAGAAGAAGATTTTCAAAGAAATAATGCATTATCACTACCTACTTATTTAGCCCTGCCCTAGCACTAGAACCCCTGATCCCAGGGCCATGAATTTCACAATTTTGGTAGAGGACTCAATGCTGATTACAATCATGCAAACAGTTTGACTGCTTGATGTCCAGGAGTAAAGAAGAAGATTTTCAAAGATTGCATTAATTTTAGTGGTTTTGGCCCCACCCCTCAGGCCCCAGGGGGGCAGGGATCATGAAATTCACAATTTTTGTTCCCTTTTACCCATAGATGCTTTGTGCCAAATTTGGTTGAAATTGGTTCAGTGGTTGCAGAGAAGAAGCTGAAAATGTTCAAAAGTTTACGAACGACGTACGACGTACGACGAACGACGACGGACGAAAACAGATAGCAATAGGTCACCTGAGTTTACTCAGGTGACCTAAAAAAATAGCTAGACTATCAAGCAGGGATACTGAAATCTCGAAAGACTCTCTATAACAACATAATTATAAAACAATTACATTCCTCAAAATGCACATACTTTGTGGTCGGAGTGACACATTTTTAAAAAATCTCAAATTTTAATTCGGTAGAAATGTCTGTCTTCCAAGAATATTTAAATAACCCCCCCCCCCCCCCCCCCGCCTAAAAAAAAATCAAATGTCTAAATGTCAATCTGGACAGGGGATGGTATTTCTCCGAGTGTTTGTGTGTTAAAGAGCGTATAGATGTACACATAAAAAATTTGTATTCAGGTTAATTGCTTTTAAGATTTGAAGTAAATAATTACCGTACATCAAATTACTTGGTTTAGATTTGAGATTATTACTAAAACAATCAGTTATAATTGAAAAATGAATTTTGCGACGCAAACGAACTGCAGACTATACACATTACTTTGTATAGAATGTTTATTAGAACTACATGTAGATAGACAATTCACAATAATAGCTTATGAACAGCAGTTATAATACCTCCCCCCCCCCTTCAGCCGCGCAAATACCAAATAACCTCTTTCCACTTATGATATTTTCCCTGACCAAAATCTGATCAGCACGGACTAAGTGTATCGACGTGCTAGTCTGTACGGAGTAATGACAGTGTGTTTACCTGTTTACTATTGAGCTTTTACGGAGTTTATTTCTTTTTTGTGATGCATATTTCAATAAATGGAATTCAGAGTGTATATCACTTGACTTGTGCACATCTTCGAACCGATGCAGTAACCTTATTACCAGGTATGGGTACGTTTACAGCGTTCGAGGCGTTTTCTCGAAATGCATCAATTGCATAGGAGCTGCAAATCAAAGACGTTGGTTGTTTTGTTTCATTTAAAATGATATAATTTCGAAATGTGTTTGCACATTTTACTGCTATTTATTTCAAGTTTATTCTGCATAAATTGGCGCACTGTAGAAATACGTATTCGTACATCTGAATTTTTCTTCCACACTTGCATTTTTTTCTTTTGATTCAAATCAATAATTATTCAGAAATATGATTATCATGTCGTTTATTGTAGTTTTGTAATGTCTTGATCACCTCATGTGTTCTCATATTCTTTAACATCGGAGATGTGCACAAGTCGATACCCAAACCAAAAAATCATTCAAGTGTAACGAGCGCTTTGGGGTATATATCGTTACAATGAGACAAGGTATCTGAAAGAAATATGGCGGAATACGGCTATAGTTGGTATGAAACAAGTCGTACATAGATGAAAATGTTGCGTTTTTTAAGAATTCATGTCAGCTTTAATTAACAGGACCAGTCCAAAGATTATTTCTATGTAGCTACATAGGTACTTTAACCTACCCAAAGTGCCCTTGGTAGTATTTTTACCTACTTTTTGCTATTGTGCCCTTGGTAGTATTTTTACCTACTTTTTGCTATTTACATTTTGTGGCCAAACGCATTAACGGCACAATATGATGAGCATCAAATCTAAAAACAGAGCCATACTGTTGATGAATACGACAAAATTCAGGCAAAAAAAAAATTACTTTGTAAATCAACAATTTTGCATAGTAATTTATGCAATATATATTGATTCTTTACAAATTGATCATTTGACCAAAATCTTTTTGTATTCATCATCAGTGACTCAGAGTCAGACTGTATTAAGAAATCTGCATGGTGCTCACTATATTGCGCAGTCCCTGAGATTTGCCAGAAAATGTAAATAAAGCAAAACGTACGTAAAAAATTGTTACTTTAAGTAGGTTTAAATATCTACGTATCTATTTATAGGTAGAAATATACTTGGATTGGACCTGATTAAAAGGACTTCTATTGTTAGATGCTATTCACCGATGTATGGTATGCACAAAAGTAACTTACTAAATGCTTGGGGGAAAACAGTCACATAAAATGCATGAAATACCTGTAATTTTGTTTCTCCCATCATCCTTCTTTGTTTCCTGTTTTACTGTAAATCCTCACCATTTTCACAAAATGAAGCATGTATATCTGTCAATCCTTCCATTATTGCAATTTTCATTCTATTTTGTATATTTTTAATTTTGCCTGAGGTATCTCCTAAAAATAAATATTTATATTTAACTGTCAAATATTAAAGAAAACAGCGTTTATCATTATGTATATGCACTAGGCCAATAGGCATTATAAATAGATCAACAAATCGTAAGGTTGATTACTCAAGTATCTAAAAATATTTTCAAATGTGTATCTTTTCAGATTCTAATCAATGATTTTATTATCTTTCAGATTTCAAAGAATAAATTGACTTCTCTACCACAAAGATCCTCTGCTGAACACCGCCATCATCTTCCATTCCACCACGCCAAGTAAGCCTCGCTTTCAATAAAGTCGGTGTGCTAATTACACAAAAGGATCCAAATGCTGTGCAAATTCAGTTGCATTTGAACAATCAATTAATTTTGAGATGCTGATGCACATTGGATGTTGAATTTGTTATTTTTTTCATCTTGGAAATGATATTTTCTGAGATAAATTTTTGAGATGTATTATTATATCTAAAACATCTAATTTTACTATTTTATAATGCATGTAGCTAATTAAGGTAATTAGTAAGAACAAAAGATAGAAACAGACTATATTATTTCTATGCAAGGTAACTCTTGCAACACTTATCTTTGTCAATGTTTGAAGCTTTGAGTTATCCTTCTTTAAAACAGAAGAAAATCAAACCTATAAAAGAATTTCTCATTTTTTTATTGTTTCAGTCATTACACAAGTAAAACACAGTTTAATAATAATATTTCATGCTCCTATGAGCCCAAAAAAATACTTTTCCCCCCAATAAAAAATATATGAAAATTAAGTTGAAAGGCCTATTACATGTAGTCCGTGCTGATCAGATTTTGGTCAGGGAAAATATCACAAGTGGAAAGAGAAGTTATTTGGTATTTACGCGGCTGAAAGGGAGGGGGTATTATAACTGCTGTTCATAAGCTATAATTGTGAATTGTCTATCTACACGTAGTTCTAATATACATTCTATACAAAGTCATGTATATAGTTTGCAGTTGGTTTGCGTCGCAAAATTCATTTGTCAATTATAACTGATTATTTTACATAGGCGTAGTCACAGGGGGGGGGGGCAGCGGGGGCAGTACCCCACTTTCAGATCGGGGGGGGGGGAAGTATGTCTGTGCCCCCCCCCCCCCACTTTTTAATGGGAAACAAAATCTCAGCTATTTTGAAATAATATTAAACCTCATTTTATGGCATTTTTATACGTTCAACAACTGAGTAAGCATTTGTCTAGTAGTAATATAGTTGTTCACCAGTTTGGGATAGGGAATGCTGGTCAAAAAATTGGAATTGAAAGTAACTTGCCTTTGAAAAAAAAGTTGGCACTAGCTGTTTTTAAAAATATATATATTTTTTTTAAATATAAAAAATATAAAAATAATTTCTGTAGGAGTATTTGGGAGATAATTTTAAAAGCTAGGGTAGGGATTCTTGACACTTGTTGAATACGGAAAATGTTTATTTACTCTTTTGTATATTGAACTAACTAAGTCTCTCTCTCTCTCCCTCTCTCTCTCACTCTGTAACCATCAGAGCAATAATAGGTATAAGATCCTACGCACTTTGTGCTGTACCATTTATTAAGCCTTAGGACAGATCAAGGATTTTTTTCAGGCGGGATGTGGAAACTTCATAAATTCAATAACAATTTTAATTTGGACAAGAAGTTAACCAAAACGGCCAAATTGAAAGAGAAACTAGAGGTATTGTGAGCAATGAGCTCACTAAATGATACCCCCGTCTCCCATATGGTTATAATGGCAAAGTCCATATTTAGCTGTTGTCTCTAAACCTAAAATACGTGTCGGATCAAAAAGTAAAATAGGAGGTGCACAATGGTAATATGTAATAAACCTAAGATTCTGTGAAAGTTTTACTAAATTTCATTAAGTGGTATAAGAGGATTTGCGGATTAGAGATGGGTACCCCAAAGCGTAACAGACCGACGGACGGACATAACTATTACTATAAACCCTCCCACTTTTCAAGTGGGGGGATATAATAAACGTGAAATATACATCACAGGAATGGATACATTGGGAACTTTCTCAAATACCTTCTCAAACGCATTGGCGTCGGAAGCAAATTGAAAGTAGGGGGGGGGGGGGGGCTAAGTGCAAAGAATTTTATTTTATACATTCAAAAAATCTGACAAGCTTAAAAAAGGGAAAATGTCCTTTTCCAAAACACGAATATCATATTTCGTGTGGGGGAAAGGGGGGAGGGAAGGTAGGTTCGAACTTAAGTAACAAAATTTTTCTCCAAACATCAACACTTTCCTTTTTTTAAACATTTACTGCGACTTTTCTGTGGAAAGTGGGGGGGGGGCTAAACGTACGCAGCAATGTTCAATGTTTATTCCAAGCATATATTTTTAAAAAAAGCCACCCCCAGGTTCCAACACCTATGCTCAATCGTACGAGTCGAACCTGGACCTGGACAACAGACAAGAGAATTTTTAAAAAGCAAATTGTAGGTAGAATATGGAATTCTCACGGAGGGTTTGCTCTCTCTTTCTATCTGTTTTTTCTAGTAATCATCAATTATTTTTGTCTAGAAATTTAATTCACACTAAATTCTATTTTCATTATCATTGTATCACAGAATCAAACTCGTTTATTATACCCCTCACAACAAGTTGCGTGAGGTTTAATGTTTTGGACCCATCAGGCAGTCCTTTTTTTTTTGGGGGGGGGGGGGGGGGTCAGCGCAACTTCTTATAAACCACTGAACAGAGTTTTGTCGAACTTTCGAGATATTTATAGGAGTCAATGTGTGTCTAGATTTGCACATCACCAGGAAATTCCGAATCCTTTATTTTTTTCGGGAATTTCCGCACTTTTGCATTTAGATTTTGGCGATATCTTTAATATAGAGATGATCAGTTTGTCAGCGCAACTCCTCTTAGACCGCTGTACACAATTTCATAAAACTTTGCAGATATTTAGAACACAATGTGAATAGATGTGCATATTACAAGAAAATTACGATTCCTTTATTTTTTCTGGGAATTTCGACTTTTGCGGGAGGGTGGGGTATGTGAATTTGCTCATTTTTTCTTTCATTGTGCATAAAATTATAAATGACTTTAAATCATATTATAATAACTTTAAATCAAATATATTAGGTCTAATAAAGCCAATATACAGTATTTATTTGATAATATTTGAACATAAAGAAATCCGATCTGCTTCAGACGTTTTTCTTAAATTATTTTTATGAGAGTGTTACGCATGTTTTATTACCCCCCCCCCCTTTCACAAGAAAATATCTTCACATCTTCAAAAGGTGAATGATTCGTAAAAATGCATGCTTTATTATAAATTTGATGAAGTTAAACCATGTTTTCAAAAATTTTATATACACCATTTACAGACAAGAGTAATGTTTATTCTCGAAAAAAAATTATTTGCATTTTCTTCAGTCAACCCCACGGCGCTTTCAACCTTTGATATTTTCCCTGACCAAATAAAATGATCGGCAAGGGCCACGTGTGTGCAAGCAGTTTTTACTGCTGAGTAAGCAATGGATTACATGATTTCTGAGATGCATTTTTCAATAAAAGTAAAATAGGATAATTCTTTCGACATGTGCACATCCCTGTAACGATAGCAGTATTCAGGTAAATATTTTTATCACTGCGTTTGACGCGTTTTCTCGACTGACCTGCATGGAATTTTTGCTGTACTTGAATGTATCCGTGTAAGTGTATTTTCTATATTGCAGCAAATGCATTCAAAAATAATTTAATTCTCGGTGTATTTCTAGTTTATGTTGATTTTTTACTTTTCAAACATGTATTGGTCAGTTTATGGACTTCTAAAAAACTATGCTATCGGAGGTGTGCACATGTCGACAGCCAAGATAGAAAATCACTCAAGTGAAACAATTGTACAAGGCTTTATATAGCAGGTACAGGTGGCTAAAAATCTTCGATTAAATATGGCGGAATCGAAGAAATATGGCAGACAAGGGCGTACAGGAATGTAGTAAGTCGTACAAAGATGAAAACTGATGCCTTTTTAAGAGTTCATGTCAGCTTTAAGCAAAAGGCGCGTGTATTTAAAATAAAACCATATAAACCAATTCTCGCTACACGGTAGACTTAGCTAGTTTTTTGATGGATTAAAAATATACTTTTGTATTCTTTCGAGTTTGTTTAGTCTTGTCTGACCCCCTCATAATATGTTTATATGTTTGTTTTACGTCATTTACTTTAATAAATGACATTTTTTTAACTTTCATTACTGTTGTTATTCTATTTTTAATCCATCATAAAACTAGCTCAGTTGACTTGGTTTTGGTCTTTCATTGATAACAGAGGAACATAAATAAGTTATTATTATTACAATAATAATATCCTTTATGTGACAGAGTTAAAGGAATTTTAATTGTTTTATTTGTTATAATTTATTTCTGATGTGATATGTTTTTATTTGGTAACTGTAAAGTTGTTTTGTGTTTTAAAACTATTTAGATCGGAATCAATTGCCTATTTTTAATCTATGACACAATTGTCTTAATTTACAGCCAATCAGCCTGGTTTCTCCCAATCACGTGATCATTGTATTTATTTACCAAAGGAGAAGGCCCGCTGATTTGCAAGGGAAATTTTTTGTCAAAGGAACACTCCATCCATCCTCCTTTCTTCCACCGTCTTATATTATATTTGTTATATATGTACATGTATTAGTGTTCATACTTATTTGTTTGGCGTTTATTTTCTTTTGTCCCACCCTTTTTGATGACAGGCATATCGGTGCCTGCTTTATGCTATATTCAATTGAACATTCAAAATAAACGCATTTGACACCAAAGACTCTTGTATTTCATATAAGTTTGTACTTCCTCTACTCTCTTAACTCTTCTAATGACACAGTCACAAAAACATTTTTCTTTTTCCAAATATTTTGAATCAATTAGACAAAACATCACAATATATCAATTTACAATTTAACAAAAAAAAGGGGACAATGGAAGTAAATGGCCATATTATTTTAACCCAGGGTCCGAGGAGATATCCTGTATACCAACCTAGAAAGTATAACGGGCAAACTGGTGGTCTGGCGTTGAGCGCCAATACCAAAAATCCCCAAACTATGAAAATACCACCCATTTGGGATTGGAAGAGTTTTCAAAATATCCGTTTACCCCGTTTTCCAGGGATTGCACCTGGTTGTTAGTACTTTATAATGTACTCCAGGACTAAACCTCCCCTCCTGTGTGTAGAGGTGGAGTGGGCACCAAGACTGTCTAACTTCAGTGACCCCAATGTATGACACATTTTTCAAAACACATACGTATATATGTAAAATTTGCTTTTTACAAACCGCCCTCTGTCTTAAATGAAAGATGGGGGGAAACATCAGGCTAGATAATTTGAAAACTTCCCACTTATATCCCCCCAGACCCGCCCCACTAACACAATGCGACGAATGAAGAGATGAAGGTCATAACTTGAATAAAAAGTTCTAAAATATATATAGTTCACAGAAAAAGTCATGACTATGTCCCCATGAGACATCTGCTTGGAAAAAGCGCCCACGATCT